ATTCTATGCAACATATCTGATTTATCTGCTCACAGTTGACTTACGTATATGTCTATGGTTATGTATGTACAAAAAGTATTAATTATCGAAGTTTCTTTCCCATTTGTTCATACATTATTAGTGATTATGTATAACAGATGGTTCCGGAAAAGTAAATCACTTTCATGAGGAGATGAGGCGGGAGTTGGGTTTTGCAAAATTTCTTCTCCGTTCAACTTTCGAGAAACGTTCTGAGGGATACGTTTGGGACGATTGCTGCAGAATCGGGGCAGAGGTTTTTGTTCATAAGGGCCAAACGAAAACTCTTGACGAATATCTTCCCCCTCGGGAACTCAAAAATCCAACCTCAAGTGTCCGTAAGTTTAGGTTGGGAAGCATCTCATCAAAACGTGACCCAAAGTGTCTATCTTCAGATAAATTTCATCTTCAAGGAAGAAAATGGTACGTATGTGCAATATGTCTTACGTACGTATATAAAGAGAACTGTTATTAACACTCCATATAAAAAAGAAACATTATGCAATCCTTTATTCGCTATGGAAGTTATACGGGAATCATTGTAACTTTCTTGTGTTTATTAATTTTAGGAAGTTAAGTGTTTGTCAAAACGGAGAACCAGAGAACAAATCACTGTCATTTATGTTAGAATCGAAAGAAGATTGGAAGAACTTTCCAAGCTTTTATGCAAAATTCAGGCTTCGGGTATTGGATCGAGTCCATGCTAAACATACTATTGAAAAAGAAGGTAATTCCCTTTACAACTGTCTCTGTTGCTGTATTCCTTATCTACGTATCAACTCATTGTCCTCACTGAAAAAGAAAAAATGAATCAAGAAATTAAGGCCACGTTTGATATGGAGGGTTAGACTCAGCTATCCTAGACTAGTTACTATTGTTTCACAAGAGAACATTACTATTGTTTTACATAATTCTCTAAAAATGTGATTCTCTGTTTCAGTTCAACACTGGTTCTGTTCCTCAAACTGCAAAATTGTTTTCCCAGACTTTATGCCGTGGAAAACTCTCCGTGACTCGTCGAAGGGGTTCATTAAGAATGATGTATTAACTGTTGAAGTAGAAATATGCTCGCTATCTGTGGTTGATGCTCCTAGAATATTAAAAAAACCATAGTTTTATGATTAAGATAGATGGTTGCAGATCTTTGAATAGTATTTGGGGCCCTATGTGTATATGCTGTGCTAGAATTGCAGAGTGGTGTATCCGGAACATATAAAAATTCGTGTGAACTTTATCAGATAATTTTCATGTTTGAATTGTTCACATAAATAAAGGATTAATTTCTTGTGCTAGATACCACACTCGTTTTTAGGTTTTGCATAATTAAGGAAAGACATGATTTGTTAGTATCTTGTGCTAGATACTTTGAGTGGACAAGAGCATAACAATTTGGATCCAACTTTAGAGTTTGGACTTAAATCTAACACATCAATCATGACACTATGTACCTACGGTTGATATTCACCTCATGAGTATATGGACCTAAATACAAATACCTGACTATGAATCCAGCCCAGTTAGTTGAAATACCAGCCTAATTAAAATCATTCCTTATTAAGCGACATTTGGAGAGGAGGGAGGACAACAAATGCAAGGATAGATGACTTCGGACCATGCACAGTTAGCTAAAATACTGGCCCAATTAATTAAACTCATTAACCTGGAGTCATTTTATAACGAGGATCTTATATATGACCCTTAAGTGAGGTCACATATCTTAATCGTTGGATACGACTAATCAATTTGATCCAACGATTAAGAGATAGAGTCTCACCTAAGGACCATATATAAGGTCCTCACTATAAAATTCATGCATTAACCCGTGCCTTAATTTGGTTCTTTGATCCAAATGAACATGCGTATCCTCAAAGGTTGGGATCGATAGGAGTTTTTTGTCAACTTCAAATTGTTTGCATTAGATATTTTGCACAAACATGATCATAAATCCAAGAACTCTCTACTATATTTGATTTGTGCACATGTTAAACTATCAAAGCTCCCCCAACCATCATATCCTTGATGCTAACGACTTCTTGGGAGTTCTGGTAACGATGGTGAACATTTCTAGCAGAGCTCAAATCCCCAATGAGCAGAAAATCATTAAGCTCATCGAAAATTAACTTTGATATACAAATAGACGGTGTTCAATAAGAGAGAGTAGAGTTTCACACGTAATGCCAATATATCATGAGAGTATAAACCTAAGACTACTTGTGTGCAACTCTATTATTTTTTGAGTTGACTACAACTAATACTGTAGTCTTCTCTTTACTATTATTTTCTTTTGGCTGGGTTTTTAAAAAGCAAACCTTATAGTCACTCAACCATTAGACATTAGTATCTTCCAACTTGATTTGCATTGTTTTCTGTCTTTCTCTATGTCGATATACATGTAGTCTTTGTTTAATTGTCCACTTGCTATTTACATAATAATTCTTTTTGGTCCGTGTATTTGAATAAACCTTATGGTCAAGCCAGCCATTCACATGAACCATGGATCAGTAACTCTTAACCTGATTTCCATTGTTTTTGGTCTTTCTTTATCAGGATATATGTGTGCACATGGTTCTAGTACTTTTTTTGACTTGATCACTATAAGCAATAGAAGTCTTTTTAGTGTCTTTGTGAGCATGAATTATAAATGTCGTCTTTATCTCAAAATAGTGCGAGTCTTTTTAATTGTCCAATTCCTATATACATAATAATTTTTTTGGTCCATACGTATTTAAATAAACGTTATGGTCAAGCGAATGACAACTATGGTCCATGGATAGAATTATAAACTTTCAACCTTTATCCTTTTTTGTTGTGTTATACTTTCAACTTTATTTGCTTTGTTTATTGTCTTTCTCTCTATTTATATGCGTCTGCCTTTGCTCTACTAATCCATGATCAGTTGGCATTTTAAAATCCGAATTCTGCCACTACAAGAAAAACTGCCTTTATTGACGGTTAAAAAGTGTCAAGTAAATAGATTCTTGACGCCTCAAATACCGTCAGGAATACCAATGACATCATCAAACGGGTAAGCAAAAACTTGACGGTTTTTGTGTGTTAAGAAATGGTTTTTGCTTATAGATAAAAACCGTCGCAAGATAGGAAAAAGCATCAACTTATGGTAATCCTTGACACTTCCTAACTGTCAACTAATGTCCTCCTTTACATTTTAAGGAACTTACTTGATGGATTTTAGCCTTCAAGAAACAATAAATTAATATATTAAAAAAAGAATAACAAATATAGTGCTTACGAGAGCGTTGGGATGTACTAGCCAAGGTAGGTTCAACACTAATAATGAAGATGATGTTGATTTGTCTTCGATGAGGAGGTTTGGTGTTTACATACTTTTCGAGTTTTCGTTCCTGAATGAGAGACTTGATAATATTGCTTAAAGTAATATAGGACTCTGTATTATGGCCATTGAATTTGTGGAAGTGATGGAAGACACCATTGTCCGGCGAGGGTTTGTTGGTTTGCCTTTTGGCAAGAGGCTTGGGCATAATAGGCGCTTCGTTTACCAAGACTTTCTCATAAGTTGTGTTTAACGTGGTGAAGACTTAAAATCGAGGCTTAGGTTCAAATGGAAAAGGTGCGCGATCCTAAGTTTTCTGTGAGGCATACCTTCTAGAGCGATAGTTGTTATGTTTGTGACCATTTCCACGTTTGCCATTGCTGAAGGGCCAATGGTATCCATCCTTCCTCTTAAAGTTTTAACCATGCTTGGCAATCATCATTGAAAGAGTAACAATTAGGCTTCTAGTGATTGGTTGGTGATGGAGGAGGGTATAGATTGTAGGAGGGTGCCGAACCTTGTGGAGGGTTGCTAGACCATACTTGGAGTTGAAGTATGCTACCTTAGAGTGAATGGTGGCTTGCCTCATTAGTTCATCATAAGTATTCCAGGGGTGTGTACCAAGTAGCGGAAGTTGGACTCATGACGGCCACTCTTGACGATGCCAAAGGACGTACGATAATTCGTCTCGGAACACCCCGAGTAGTTGCATACTCCTGGAGAGGTTTGTCTTCACGTTGTTGAATTCTATACAAGTCATGTGCATAATTTAATTGATTAGTCTCAATCATGAAATGATCCAAGAAGATGTGCTTCAGCAACATAATCGCTCCATATCGATATGTAGGTCAGCATCGGCAAGTAGCCTCCTCCTAGAAGATTCTACATGAAGGGTGTTATGTAGGGTGCCAAGACTGGCTTTGTTTGGCATGTTAGAATATAGGTTTTCGAAGAGCCGAAAAGGTGTGCTAGGTGAAGGAGCCAGCAGAGAAGTGGGATTCATAAGTCAATTCCCACATATGGCTCCAATATGTTTGTGGGAGCAATTTTCGTCCCACGAGAATATTCGTATAAGATTCCATCTTCCTCTTTGCTTCTCTTTCTCCCTGCAAACAAATCGGAATAAGAGGACCGCACCCGGGGGTTGTTGGCCAAAGGCTCTCTGATGCCTAAGTTAGTTCAAGTGTTTGTAGGAAAACAATAGCTAACAAAAGGGTACGGAGATGTATGTATGGTGTGAATCGGGTGGCTGAAGCCGTGTGTGGTGGCCGGAGCCTTGTGTGAGAGAAAGAAAGAGTTATGGGGGCTAGGGGTTTGTGAGATGGAATTTCTGTAGAGTTTCAAACAGAAGTTTAGACGTAGGTTTAGAATTATCTCAAGCCTTAGAGTAGCCATGTATTTATAGGAGGCTCGAAGGCTATAGTTTTGAAAGAATAATTCCACAAATGGAAAAAAAATTACTCTTCTCCAATTTGGAGAGATTGACGTAATTAGGGTAAGAATCGAATAATTACCAATTAAATCAAATAACTCCCAATTATGCCAAATAATCATAATTACCAAATTGATTGGCTTAATTATTTGACCTAGGATCCATAGATATTTTGCTTCCACAAATGCCCCATAGCTTCTATATGTGCAATATGTCTTACGTACGTATATAAAGAGAACTGTTATTAACACTCCATATAAAAAAGAAACATTATGCAATCCTTTATTCGCTATGGAAGTTATACGGGAATCATTGTAACTTTCTTGTGTTTATTAATTTTAGGAAGTTAAGTGTTTGTCAAAACGGAGAACCAGAGAACAAATCACTGTCATTTATGTTAGAATCGAAAGAAGATTGGAAGAACTTTCCAAGCTTTTATGCAAAATTCAGGCTTCGGGTATTGGATCGAGTCCATGCTAAACATACTATTGAAAAAGAAGGTAATTCCCTTTACAACTGTCTCTGTTGCTGTATTCCTTATCTACGTATCAACTCATTGTCCTCACTGAAAAAGAAAAAATGAATCAAGAAATTAAGGCCACGTTTGATATGGAGGGTTAGACTCAGCTATCCTAGACTAGTTACTATTGTTTCACAAGAGAACATTACTATTGTTTTACATAATTCTCTAAAAATGTGATTCTCTGTTTCAGTTCAACACTGGTTCTGTTCCTCAAACTGCAAAATTGTTTTCCCAGACTTTATGCCGTGGAAAACTCTCCGTGACTCGTCGAAGGGGTTCATTAAGAATGATGTATTAACTGTTGAAGTAGAAATATGCTCGCTATCTGTGGTTGATGCTCCTAGAATATTAAAAAAACCATAGTTTTATGATTAAGATAGATGGTTGCAGATCTTTGAATAGTATTTGGGGCCCTATGTGTATATGCTGTGCTAGAATTGCAGAGTGGTGTATCCGGAACATATAAAAATTCGTGTGAACTTTATCAGATAATTTTCATGTTTGAATTGTTCACATAAATAAAGGATTAATTTCTTGTGCTAGATACCACACTCGTTTTTAGGTTTTGCATAATTAAGGAAAGACATGATTTGTTAGTATCTTGTGCTAGATACTTTGAGTGGACAAGAGCATAACAATTTGGATCCAACTTTAGAGTTTGGACTTAAATCTAACACATCAATCATGACACTATGTACCTACGGTTGATATTCACCTCATGAGTATATGGACCTAAATACAAATACCTGACTATGAATCCAGCCCAGTTAGTTGAAATACCAGCCTAATTAAAATCATTCCTTATTAAGCGACATTTGGAGAGGAGGGAGGACAACAAATGCAAGGATAGATGACTTCGGACCATGCACAGTTAGCTAAAATACTGGCCCAATTAATTAAACTCATTAACCTGGAGTCATTTTATAATGAGGATCTTATATATGACCCTTAAGTGAGGTCACATATCTTAATCGTTGGATACGACTAATCAATTTGATCCAACGATTAAGAGATAGAGTCTCACCTAAGGACCATATATAAGGTCCTCACTATAAAATTCATGCATTAACCCGTGCCTTAATTTGGTTCTTTGATCCAAATGAACATGCGTATCCTCAAAGGTTGGGATCGATAGGAGTTTTTTGTCAACTTCAAATTGTTTGCATTAGATATTTTGCACAAACATGATCATAAATCCAAGAACTCTCTACTATATTTGATTTGTGCACATGTTAAACTATCAAAGCTCCCCCAACCATCATATCCTTGATGCTAACGACTTCTTGGGAGTTCTGGTAACGATGGTGAACATTTCTAGCAGAGCTCAAATCCCCAATGAGCAGAAAATCATTAAGCTCATCGAAAATTAACTTTGATATACAAATAGACGGTGTTCAATAAGAGAGAGTAGAGTTTCACACGTAATGCCAATATATCATGAGAGTATAAACCTAAGACTACTTGTGTGCAACTCTATTATTTTTTGAGTTGACTACAACTAATACTGTAGTCTTCTCTTTACTATTATTTTCTTTTGGCTGGGTTTTTAAAAAGCAAACCTTATAGTCACTCAACCATTAGACATTAGTATCTTCCAACTTGATTTGCATTGTTTTCTGTCTTTCTCTATGTCGATATACATGTAGTCTTTGTTTAATTGTCCACTTGCTATTTACATAATAATTCTTTTTGGTCCGTGTATTTGAATAAACCTTATGGTCAAGCCAGCCATTCACATGAACCATGGATCAGTAACTCTTAACCTGATTTCCATTGTTTTTGGTCTTTCTTTATCAGGATATATGTGTGCACATGGTTCTAGTACTTTTTTTGACTTGATCACTATAAGCAATAGAAGTCTTTTTAGTGTCTTTGTGAGCATGAATTATAAATGTCGTCTTTATCTCAAAATAGTGCGAGTCTTTTTAATTGTCCAATTCCTATATACATAATAATTTTTTTGGTCCATACGTATTTAAATAAACGTTATGGTCAAGCGAATGACAACTATGGTCCATGGATAGAATTATAAACTTTCAACCTTTATCCTTTTTTGTTGTGTTATACTTTCAACTTTATTTGCTTTGTTTATTGTCTTTCTCTCTATTTATATGCGTCTGCCTTTGCTCTACTAATCCATGATCAGTTGGCATTTTAAAATCCGAATTCTGCCACTACAAGAAAAACTGCCTTTATTGACGGTTAAAAAGTGTCAAGTAAATAGATTCTTGACGCCTCAAATACCGTCAGGAATACCAATGACATCATCAAACGGGTAAGCAAAAACTTGACGGTTTTTGTGTGTTAAGAAATGGTTTTTGCTTATAGATAAAAACCGTCGCAAGATAGGAAAAAGCATCAACTTATGGTAATCCTTGACACTTCCTAACTGTCAACTAATGTCCTCCTTTACATTTTAAGGAACTTACTTGATGGATTTTAGCCTTCAAGAAACAATAAATTAATATATTAAAAAAAGAATAACAAATATAGTGCTTACGAGAGCGTTGGGATGTACTAGCCAAGGTAGGTTCAACACTAATAATGAAGATGATGTTGATTTGTCTTCGATGAGGAGGTTTGGTGTTTACATACTTTTCGAGTTTTCGTTCCTGAATGAGAGACTTGATAATATTGCTTAAAGTAATATAGGACTCTGTATTATGGCCATTGAATTTGTGGAAGTGATGGAAGACACCATTGTCCGGCGAGGGTTTGTTGGTTTGCCTTTTGGCAAGAGGCTTGGGCATAATAGGCGCTTCGTTTACCAAGACTTTCTCATAAGTTGTGTTTAACGTGGTGAAGACTTAAAATCGAGGCTTAGGTTCAAATGGAAAAGGTGCGCGATCCTAAGTTTTCTGTGAGGCATACCTTCTAGAGTGACCATTTCCACGTTTGCCATTGCTGAAGGGCCAATGGTATCCATCCTTCCTCTTAAAGTTTTAACCATGCTTGGCAATCATCATTGAAAGAGTAACAATTAGGCTTCTAGTGATTGGTTGGTGATGGAGGAGGGTATAGATTGTAGGAGGGTGCCGAACCTTGTGGAGGGTTGCTAGACCATACTTGGAGTTGAAGTATGCTACCTTAGAGTGAATGGTGGCTTGCCTCATTAGTTCATCATAAGTATTCCAGGGGTGTGTACCAAGTAGTGGAAGTTGGACTCATGACGGCCACTCTTGATGATGCCAAAGGACGTACGATCATTCGTCTCGGAATACCCCGAGTAGTTGCATACTCCTGGAGAGGTTTGTCTTCACGTTGTTGAATTCTATACAAGTCATGTGCATAATTTAACTGATTAGTCTCAATCATGAAATGATCCAAGAAGATGTGCTTCGGCAACATAATCGCTCCATATCGATATGTAGATCAGCATCGGGAAGTAGCCTCCTCCTAGAAGATTCTACATGAAGGGTGTTATGTAGGGTGCCAAGACTGGCTTTGTTTGGCATGTTAGAATATAGGATTCCGAAGAGACGAAAAGGTGTGCTAGGTGAAGGAGCCAACAAAGAAGTGGGATTCATAAGTCGATTCCCACATATGGCTCCAATATGTTTGTGGGAGCAATTTTCGTCCCACGAGAATATTCGTATAAGATTCCATCTTCCTCTTTGCTTCTCTTTCTCCCTGCAAACAAATCGGAATAAGAGGACCGCACCTGGGGGGTGTTGGCCAAAGGCCCTCTGATGCCTAAGTTAGTTCAAGTGTATGTAGGAAAACAATAGCTAACAAAAGGGTACGGAGATGTATGTATGGTGTGAATCGGGTGGCTGAAGCCGTGTGTGGTGGCCGGAGCCTTGTGTGAGAGAAGGAAAGAGTTATGGGGGCTAGAAGTTTGTGAGATGGAATTTCTGTAGAGTTTCAAACAGAAGTTTAAACGTAGGTTTAGAATTATCTCAAGCCTTAGAGTAGCCATGTATTTATAGGAGGCTCGAAGGCTATGGTTTTGAAAGAATAATTCCACAAATGGAAAACAATTATTCTTCTCCAATTTGGAGAGATTGACGTAATTAGGGTAAGAATCGAATAATTGCCAATTAAATCAAATAACTCCCAATTAGGCCAAATAATCATAATTACCAAATTGATTGGCTTAATTATTTGACCTAGGATCCATAGATATTTTGCTTCCACAAATGCCCCCTAGCTTCTGAATGGCGCGTGGTGGCATGTAGGAGATGTGGATTGATTATTGGGTTGTCCAGTTGTAACTGGGCTTCATTCTGTGACTTGGGCTCCTGAGTGGAGGAGGTATTTGACTTGCTAATTTTCTGAAATTGGGTTCCCAGTTGGAATGGGCTTTTGACTGTTCTTGGAGTTGGGTTCTCAGTAGGAATGGGCTTGTGATTCCTTCTTGACTTAGGATGCCTAATCTATATAAATGCATGGCTTCTCTTCACTCTTTTTCACATCGCAAACTTAACTCCTCTACTTTCTAGCTTGAGAGAGATCTTGGAGAATTTGTACAGCTTGTCGAAGAAAGGAGTTGCCGTGCATCCCAAGGTAAGTCGAGCACGTTTATATATTTTTTAATTCTTTGTCTTCTCTTTTTCGTTGTGAGGACTAGCTGGGTGGGACAAGGATGGTGGGGGTTGCTAAGCGAGTATCAGGAGGAAGTTGGTGATCTGCCCCCTGCCTAGGATGTTGAGAGATGGAAGTAAAATGGTCCAGACTCTGATGATTTGCCGGTTGGGCAGGAGGAGTGTTCTGCCGGACCCCCCCTGCCCCCTTCTAAAAAAGAAAGGTTAATGTTAAGTCTTCAAGAAATGCAACTAGGTTTAGAAGTTTAGAGTTACCTTGAATGATGAATGAAGCCATCTATTTATACGAGCCTCAGAGGCTAAGGTTTCGTAGAGAATAAAACTCTTATTATGAAGGAGTTTATTCTTTCCCCAAATTGTAGAGATTGAGTCCATTAGGGATTATATTGGGGTCCAAATCTCCTAATTTGATGATGATTATATCTTCTTATTAGGATAATATCTAAATTAATGGCATTATCTTATTAAATAAAGATAATATCCTATAATTAAGATATTATCCCTATTAATTAATTGGCCAAATAAATTGGTTCAATTAATTAATTTAAGTAATATTCTTTTTACGTGCTATAATTGGAAACGAAAATATTTACTCCCACAACTTTGACTACCATATACAACCAAGTAGAACACGGGTCTCTTCTCCTACCTTGTCTTTTTTATAACAAAACAAATCAAATCCAATTTAGCTTTTGGTTAGTGGTGGTGTTTTTGCCATAAAAAATGACATATTCGCTGACTGGCAGGCAGTATATGTGGGATCACCACTCACGAGTGGCTGTGTATAAATATTATAAATATACAACACTATATTTATAAATAAATAAATAAATAAAAACTGTATTCTGACCAGCAGAAAATGAGTGCTGCTATTTCCACCCCCAGTCCTATTTCGTGCTATAATTGGAAACGAAAATATTTACTCCCACAACTTTGACTACCATATACAACCAAGTAGAACACGGGTCTCTTCTCCTACCTTGTCTTTTTTATAACAAAACAAATCAAATCCAATTTAGCTTTTGGTTAGTGGTGGTGTTTTTGCCACAAAAAATGACATATTCGCTGACTGGCAGGCAGTATATGTGGGGTCACCACTCACGAATGGCTGTGTATAAATATTATAAATATACAACACTATATTTATAAATAAATAAATAAATAAAAACTGTATTCTGACCAGCAGAAAATGAGTGCTGCTATTTCCACCCCCAGTCCTATTTCCCCACCCACCATGTAAATTTGAAAAAACATAATCCTATTTTTACACCCACCATTATTCCTAAAATACCCTTTAATTATTAATTCAAGCAAATTCTCTTTACTTTCATTCAAAGCATGCTTCAAACCTTCACCCCTGTCAATCAAAACGCATGGGATCCTCTGTAAAGTATTATTAAAAATTAAAAAAAATAAAGAAAATCGCTCTCAATGTTCATCGTCTTTCCACCGAACGAAAACAATAACGGAGAGAAATGCCAGAATTAGAAAGAAAACGAAGAGCAAACTGAGCAAATGGAATAGAAAGCGTGTGCCCTTGGGTTCAGAAACTGAGGAGAAATATGATGGAATTGGATTGGACCCAGCTGGAAATTTTGAAGCTTTATTGGAATTTTGATTTGGGTTTGGTCGGGATGAGGGAGAGAGGGAGGGGTTGGGGTTTGACAAGGATGAAGGAGAATATGTGTTTTTTTAATCTAAAGTCCTTAAAAGTCATTTTACAAATGGATAAATTTATTTTTAAATTTTGAAGATAAGGTGGGTGGGGAAATAGGATAGGTGGGTGGAAATAGCAGCACTCGCAGAAAATACACAACAATATTAGCATATTGTTTAGTTTTCTTAAATAATGGAATATTAACTTTAAAACAAAGAAATAAGACGACGTTGTACTTGGAAATTACCAAATAAAAAATAATAATAATATGTATTTAGTATGAACTCAACCCAATATCCACAAAATAAAATTTTAAAATTAAGTGACAGTCCTTTATCACTGTAAATTGTCCATTTCATTATAAGTCTCACCCTCCATAGACGGGGAAGATGTAACTGTATGTTAAATTTAAAAGGGATTGGAGTAAAATAATTATAACTAATTAAGCAGCAAATTAATGAAATGAGTCTCCAAGCTTTAGATTAAACCAGAACATACGCATGCATACCTTCTTGCCTCAAGGACATCGCCCATCGGACAATAAGAGTTGAACTTGAAGGACTGGAGGGCATCTGTGATGGCGTCAACAACTGAATGAGTAGTCCAGAATGACCGGAACTCAGTCGGCGCTACGGCCCAACATAATGGTGGGCCTACCGTCATCTGGGTTGTTAACATTTTTCATTAGCATCGCGAGAGCTCCGCGAACGGAGATTGTTGTCGTGTTTAGCTCTTCGTTCCCTCGAAACTGCCATTTCTATTGTGAATCATTTTCCATGGTGGAAGCTGCAATGGTTTTGGTGGGTTTCTCATATACACGCACACAACTAAGATGTCATGGGGGTTCGAACCTGAGACCTCTTGTCTGTAAGTCAAGGCCCTTTTCCACTGGGCTAGACCCCGTTGGCATCTAGGGAGAGAGAGAGATGGAGAGTTTCAGGTATTTTCTCGGGTTGTAGAATTAGATTTTGAAACAATAGCTAAAAAATAATTTCTCTTCTTCTCTAGGGTGAGAACCGGGTGGCCAGAGTCATGTGGAGAAAATATGGGGAGAGGAGAGCAATGTGGGCGGCAGCAATGGAGTAGTCGCCGGCTAGGAGAGAGAGGGGAGAGGAAGACGGAATCTTAGACAAATATTCTCGTGGGACGAAAATCGCTCCCAAGATGTTGATGTTCAAAATTGGATTCAACTGAAAAGGGATGAAGTATGGTTTCTTCAGCAAGTGATGAGAAGGTGAAGACCTTCAATAATAACGCCTTTATCAGGTAGACGAATCTACAAAAAATTAACATAACAAGAAATCGTCAAGACCTTGGCACCAGTGTGATACAAGCCGAAGGCTCTCCGATATTGAAGTTAGCAAAATGTAAGGTAAAAGATAATTTTGGTAGAGTAAGAGTGTGGGTAAAGATTAGTTGCCTTTTTACCTTGGCACTATTCCCTTTTATAGGCAAAAGAAAGTGGATGTTTGCCAAAAGTTTCTATGTGGGACTTTGGGCAAATCATTGTAGTGCTGACACATGTCTCAAGATTTAGGTTCAGCGAGTTTTGCCTTCGATGACGTCCGTCGACATGCCATTGTAGAATCGGAGTAGAAGGTCCCTTTGGTGCCCTTGGTCATGATGACATCATTGGGGTTCTGAGTCAGTGGTTTTCCTCGTGTTTCCCTTGGGCAGTTTGTGGGTCTATACCAATTCCCAAGTGTTGAATGTGCTTTGTTGGTTATGGTACAAAGAACTTTTAACCACTTGAGCTACAACTTAAAAGTCTTTTGCCAAAAAAAAAAAAAAATCTATTTTTAATTGTTCATTTGATATTTACTTAAACCAGTCGCGAACATGACCTTCCACTGGATTTCCACAAAAAAGGTTTGCATTGTTTATTATCTTTCTCTATCTTCAAATATAGGTGTTTTCTGTTTTTTGATAAGCGATAATTTAAATTAAATTAATCTAAACTATACATTTCCAATTCCAATTGTACATGCATTTTCTGTTGGCTCTAGTATTTTTTTATCTTACTAGGTATAACAAATAATGTGGTCTTTTTTTAAATGTTCAATTATTGCTATTTAGATAATAAACTTTGGTCTGGCCGGTGTACTTAAATATGTTTTAGTCAAGCCATTCATATGGATGGGTAAGTTTCAACTTTTTTTAATTGTCCAAATTGATATTACATAATATTTATTTTGGCTGCTTGTGAATTTAAACAAAACTTATAGTCAAGACCGTCAACTATGACCAAATGAAAAAGAATTCAACTTTCAACTTCCTTTGAATTATTGTTTCTTGTCTTTCCTCCATCTCTCTCTCTCTCTCTCTCTCTTGTGTATGTATGTGTGGGTGCTCCTGCCTCTGTACTGAACTACCAATCCGCGGTCAGTTGGCACTGGACTGCAATGGCGAACAGACGTGGTATGTTTTGTCCTCACAATTTTGTTCTCCATAAAATCATGACATGCATTTTGTCTTTTGATTTCCAATGGAGTAAAAAATTAAATAAGTTGTTTGAAACTCTAAATTAAACCCTCCTAACTTTTCCGTTTTCTATGTTTTTTTACAACATATTTGGTTTCATTGAAGCTTTCTGCTATAATTTTATTGTGCTTTTTGTAAAGATATTGAAGCGATGAGAACATACAAAAGAGACGCTTCACCACATCACTTTAACTTGGAAATAAAGTCGTACTCCTCATTATCAACCACGCTCGCAAAAAAGTACGAATCTAATGCGTTTGAAGCTGGCGGTCACCAATGGTGGGTTTTTCCAGTCATCTACTAACGTAGTCTCTCCGTTATGCAAAAGAAGGAGGGATTCCACTTTCAATTATGTTGTTGAACATATTTTCATTTTGATAATATGTGTTTTTTGGTTGCATTTAATTTATATTTATTTTATGCTAAAGTTTATGGGAAATTAGCATTTAGCCTTGCAATCGAGGAACTAGCGTAGGTTATATGATTTTTATCTCTAGAAAAACAATAGAAATTGTAAGTGAAAAAGAAAATTATTATTAGATTATTAAACTAATAACTTTAGCTAGTCCACCCGTTGATAAATTAATAATCCCACCCACTGTTGTACTTTTTAAATCTCGTCGAAAACCTTATAATCATTTGATTATTATCACAAGATTTATTTCTTTTTATAATTTGATACATGAATACATGCATAAACTCGAAGTTTTGCACTGTATTTAAGCAAATCTTAAGATGTATAATTACTTGTAAGTTTGTATTGCAGGAGGTTGTCACTTTACCCAAATCAAATGATAAATGGACATTGTTACATCTCCCTCTACTTGGCAACAGCGAAATCAAACGTTGGTTCTTTGAATGGCCAGCGTTCTTTGAGATTAAAGTACCATGGTATTAGTGGCGGGGGAGAGGTTTATGCCACTTTTAGATTGTTTGTATTTGATCAGAAACAGAATAAGTATTTTACCGTCGAAGGTGAAGACTCTACTATAATATTATTTCTGATTTAAGTACACACACACATGTACTTAATTAACTTTGAATTTGCATGTTGACGTACGTGCAGATGGTGCCGGAAAATTAAGCCTATTTGATAGCGTGACAACGGAGGTGGGTTTTGCAAAATTTCTCCCTCGCGATACTTTCGAGCATCCTTCTGAGGGATACCTTCTGAATGACTGCTGCACATTTGGGGCGGAGGTTTTTGTTAATACGGATAAGAGGACGAGTTATAGAGAATCTCTTTCCCCGATACACAATTCCCTTCGCCGCACGAGCATTTTCTGTTATGATTTGGTAAAGTTCTCGTCACAATTTGGGCTGGAGCACTTATGTCCAAATCTGATCATTTTGGGAGAAAGAAAATGGTATGCACTTTCACTCAATTAAATTGTTGGAGAGATCAATATCCTTTTTTATTTTTTTTTATTTTTATTTTTGGTTTTTTAAAAGGGATCATTTTTTCTACTAATTGTAGGCAGCTATGTGTTTATCCAAAAGGATACGGGCAAGATAAGGACATATCACTATCACTTTACTTACGATCGGCCGACGATTTGTACACCCTTCCCAGCGTTTATGTAGAATTCAACCTCCGGGTAGTGGATCGAGCCTTTAATTTACACCATATTAAACGAACAGGTACCTATTTTTGTATCTTCCTAATTATAAACTTATTAAGTCATTGGTCTCACTTGGAAAATCTCTACAAATTTGATTTTCTGTTTTCAGGCAAACACTGGTTCCTGTCCTCGGACAACACTTTTGGTTGGTCAGATTTTATGCCATTGCGAACCTTAAATGACCCTTCAAAGGGGTTCCTTAGGGATGATATATTATCTGTTGAAGTTCAAATGCTGGTTAAGCATGGGTCCTAAAAATAGATAGATATTTGTATTTGAAGCCATGTACGGAGATGTCCCAATTAGTGTGTCAATTTTATCAGTTACTTTTCAAGTTTGAATTCATCAATGAATAATAAATAATGTTTTGTTTTTGCAATAAACGTAATTGGGTTTATATATATGATTTTTTTTTTTAAAAGCGATAGTAATTATTGATGAAACATAATAAAGTACAAAGCAGCCATAAGCTAAAGATAGGTACAACGTCTCCAATAATGACCAAACACAACTACATGTTGATTTGATCTTGATAGAATTACGCTTAAATATAAAATAAAATAAAAGACTTAAATCCTCGATTTAGCACCAAAAGCACTTGTACTTAGATTTACAATACAGATTCACCGTGCAATGTGTTGCATTCCTAAAAGGACACAAATTAATGTGCAAACAACCAATTAAAAATACCCGCAAGTGCACGAATCTAATGAAGTATAGATTATGTAAGTACGGGGTCGATCCCACGAAGAACTTGTCGGCTTCCTATAAGTTCTAATTTGAGTACGTAAAGAACACTTATTTAACACACCACAAATCCACAAATACAAATTGGAAACTAAAAAAGAGTAAAGAAATGTAAAAGAAATGAAACAACATAAGAAACCAAAGAAAAACAGAAACAGCACTTTATATCACCCTTTATCACCTATTTATCACCTGTGAACAGTACCGTAAACAGTGAAAATGAACAGTGACGACTGTAACATCCCGACCCAAAATATTATTAAGATTGGATTTAATTTAATTAAAATTTGGAATTTCCAATTTTGCCTTTGAAGTGGGGGCAAAAAGGTCAATTCTTATCCGGAGAGAGTTTGGGGCAGCAAGTGGTGTTTTTAGGAAGATGGTACTGAGCCGAGTCCGTAGACACGCGGTAGGCTCAATTCGGACTTGTAACGAAAAAGTTACGAGGTAAAAACCCTTAGTGGCAAAACTGTAAATAAGTGGAACTTGAATTTTATTAAACTCAGATTTTCTTTTCTTTTCTCTCATTTCTCTTCTCTCCCGTGCGTCTCTCTCTCTCTCCCGTCAACTCCCTCCACCCTCTGCAAAACTCGCAGCCGCCACCTCCGGCAACCACCAGCCCCGGCTCGGGCCAAGAACGACGCACCACCACCCCAGCATCCTCCCCCGACCTTGTGCAGCCCGGAAACAGCCGCTGCAGCCACCGGAAAAAACGCAGAAAAATTCCTCCGGTTTTGGCAGATTTTGCAACCCTTCGTTCTCCTTCGTTTCTCAACCAAATTGGACGAGTGAGGTATGAAAATTCATCTATTTTTCGTGCTCTAGCTGCCTGTTGGTTAGGTTTCCAGAAATTTTGAGAGTTTACAAGTTAAATTTCGAAGTTTAGCTACAGCCGGTTTTCAGTGGAAATTCCCGGCCACTTCCGGCCATTTTCTGGCCTTCACCCAAGAAGAAAAGTGGTTCCAAATTAGGTGTATTACCTGGGTTAGGAGTTTGGAGCCAAAATACTAAGTTTTTCCGGTCACCGGAATTGTGATCAAGCCACCCGCGTGCGGCAGCGCGTGGGGCGGCGCGTGGGCAGTCCGGCAGAGGCCACATTGTATCCTAGAATGATCCTTGTGTTGTCACGAGCGCGTAGGAGTTTACGGATCTCAATTCGGATAACGTTTGAACCCCGAACGGATTTTACATATAGTGTGAATTCCGGGTTCGATATGTTAGAACCGTTGGATCACTTCCAAATTAATATATGTTGATTTAGATATTCCTAGGATCGTGTAGGAATTCGCGGATCGGGAATCGGAGCCCCGGATGTTCCGATTTAAATAGTTAAAGTTTGTGTTTTACGTTAA